GTAAAGAAATGATAGCATATTATCAATGGAAAATGGAGGGAAAGTAAAAGAATTAATTACCTTCTTGGTCTTTGTTACTCCTGTGGCAAGTCCTCCCACTCATTCTTTTTCTACTTTATTCACCTAAAACGAATAATCATATCTGAAATCCTGCAAATCACTCTTCATTTTTAACCCAGAAAACTAATATATACCTTAGCTTATAGCTAGATTTAACTTTTTTTTTTTTTTTTCCAGAGATGTCTTCTTTGGACCAAAGATCTCCTTTGTGATTCCTTGCAACAGTCACTGAGAATCTTCAAGTATTCCGGAGAGCACCATCGCTAATTCCCAAGAAACTGCATTTCTACTTTCTATCCATGCAATAAAGCACAGATTTTATAAATTCTCACTTGTCTAAGACAAGTAAACTTGTGTCAAATAAGTAGTAATAAAAATTAATTCAATTTAATGTTTCTCTGTGGACTTTGTTGGCACTGGTTAAAAATATTGGCTAGAAACTTTTCATCTATGAGGTGTTAACTATGTTCAATAAAAGAATTTTGTTCTGCAGATGAACAGACACAATGCTGCCTCAAAGAATGAGATCTTTCTGTTCTTAGTTGACAGTTACTGACCATCTAATATATCTTAATGGAAAGAATCATATATAAGTTGAGATTCTTAAAAGGGAAACTAGAAGTTTTCTAGTAAGAAGGGGAAGGAAGCCAGTACTTGAGTATATATTATGCAGGCCAACTTTTTTAAGTACAATTTCATTTTATTCTCTTAAAAACAGCAAAAACAAAAACCTTCAAGGTAAGCATTCTTAAACCTATTTTTCAAATGCTGACTTAAGTATAAGATATTTGCTAAAAATCAAGGCAAGAATTTGAACAAGTCCCTAATTCCAAAGCCCATACACTATACACACTTACACACAACAGCTGTATTCTTAAAACTATGATGCATATGCCCAATGTATCAATTTTTCCTGAAAACAGCTCATATTAAAAAATCATACATAATGGATGAGAATTAAAAAGTCAAATGAGTTTTAAAAGGAAATAAAACAGATGCCTTCAAAAATATTTTCCAATTGTCAGAGACAGTTTTGGACTATGCCCTCATATCTTAGGAGGTATGCATTGACTAGTGGCCATTAGTGATGATTTCAGAAAGTTCTTCATGCAACAAAAATTGATTAAATGCTTGCTAAGGGTCAGCTATTATTAATATTTGGGCACATAGTAATGAATAAGATGGATTGCCTCTTGGAAATTGTATAACAAAAGTGTAATAATTATATACAAATTATTTATAAATGTGAAGCCTGCTACAGAGGAGAGGTATAGGATGCTATACAAAGTATTGTGGGGGGAAAGTTCAAGAAGCACATTACCTGTTGTAAGCTTAGATATTTTGTGAATAAAATTTACATTATGTAATGGAAATAGATCCTTGGAGGTCCCTAATCTGTTTATGAAGACCACTCCCAGGACAGTATCTGGCATCTATTCAATATTCAATAAGTGTTACTGTGCTGGACCAAACAATTTTGAGGTACTCAGAATTCAGTTCCTCTTAAAATTTGCACAAACATAAGTTAAAACCTGTTTTCAAATAGTATTGCCTCTTACAAAAAATGCATGAAGTGGAATTGTTTTTAAAAATCAAATTTCTTGTCAGTATAATATGATTCAGCTTTCTTCCTTCACTGAAGTGACTGGTATTAAAATTGGACTAACTTCATAATGAATGTCTTATGTCCTTTCTGGAACAGTGCATAGAATAGGTAAATAAATAAAATCAGCAGTAAGCCAGTTAATTTTCTACTTGGTATGAACTCCGTTTAAGAGAGAAAAAAAAATGTGGTAAAGATTCAGTATCTCAGCATGAGGGTATACTAGTATATGTGGCAAGAATGGCTTTTGAGTAAGTGTTCCCTTATTGTAATCAAAACCTGATGAGAAAAATAGTATTTGAAAAAAGCTAAATAATTAATAAGTGAAATTTTACAATTATGATTATTCTTCATCATATTCTCTCTTTTCAGGAAAAAACTTTGTAAAATGAAATTCTATGGCATTCTTTTAGAAGTGGATTATAGAACCACACATTCTTCTTTATACTACTAAATAAATGTAAAAGCATGAATGTTCACACACCTTATTCAACTTTTTTCTGATGATGTCAATATGTTTTTAAAAGCTAACATTTCATTCAAGCATATTAATGAATAGATCCTTTATTTTTTTGATAGCTTTCAGCTACAAGAAAAGACAACTATGATTTTATAAAAATTTACTACTGTTCTAAATACTGTCTTACAACTGAATGAGGTAGATACTGTCATGGTTCCTGTTCTATGGCCAAAGTTTCAAGGTTTAGAGAGATTAAGTTTAGAGTTATAATATTAGAGCAGTAAAGCCAAGTTTTAAAATATGGTCAGTCTTCGCACACTCTCCCTCCAGGGAGCACACCTATGTTATTCCCTTCTTCCTCTCCCCACCACCAGTATCCCCTAATCTCCAAGGAACCCCATGAAACTTGCAACCAGTGGAGCAATGGACAGCGGTAGCTCATCCCAGGCTAACCCTCTGAACCTGTCGCCAAGGCCCCCTTTTCTCTGACTTCCCAGTGAGCCAAAGCAGCCCGACCTAGGCTCTCCTGTTGCTTCTTCTATGCCCTTCCTTGTTTCACTGCCCTAAGTATGTTTTTGCTGTGGTCAATAAATTCTTGCTTGCTTCTCTAAAAAATAAAATAATAAAATATGGTCAGTCTTCCTCTAGCATCTAGAAGTCTTAACCACTCCATCATTTAATAGCATCGTCTAATCTATTTTCTTTCTGAGAAAGCAAACCTTGACTTGTATGGGACACATGATTTTACATTTCAGATAACTCATATATGCTAAATACTTACGGAATAATAATTTCTTAATTTTTATTTGCTTTTCCATATCCTATTCTTACTGTGAGTCCCATGGTGCTCTGAATCCTATGTTGGGTCACATCTCCGCTCCCTCCTCTCACTAGAACAGTGATGGCGAACCTGTGACACGCGTGTCAGAGGTGACACGCGAACTCATTTTTTTGGTTGATTTTTCTTTGTTAAATGGCATTTAAATATATAAAATAAATATCAAAAATGTAAGTCTTTGTTTTACTATGGTTGCAAATATCAAAAAATTTCTATATGTGACACGGCACCAGAGTTAAGTTAGGGTTTTTCAAAATGCTGACACGCCGAGCTCAAAAGGTTCGCCATCACTGGTCTGAAGTCTTAATCTATGCATTCAGAGAAATATTTTTATATGCTTTGTGTAGTTTATAACAAAGGGTGTTGTTGTTTTTTTAGCTCTGTTAACTGTGAATTCACCCCTCCTCCTCCACTGCATATTTAAAGCATGTGTTCATACTGTGGGCAAACATCCTCTGAAGATAATTTTCTTTGTGCATTGCTGACTATTCAAATATAACAAGTATTATTAAAATTAAATATTAACTGAAAAATTTTGGAAGTAATACTTTATTTAAATAAACCAACATATCTTGTTGCTATGTGGTTCATTTTCATATAGCTAAGAAAAAAGTTCTCACAGAGATTTCTGGAATGTGAGATAGTGTCCCCCAAAAATGTACACGCACTTAAAGCTGATAGCTCAAATTCTGTTTCTTTCTCTTCAGATTTAACCCATTGGAATTAATAATCATTCAAAGTGTGCATACATTTTTTGGGATACCCTGTATGAGAGGATTCTACTATAATACTAATTATCACAGCCTCTGCTCATCAATGAAAAAACAAGTAAATCTTTAGTCATAGCAAAAAGAAAGACCAATGCTTTGTTGCTTACCATGTTTTCTAGCTGTTAATACATTGAGAACACTAAAAATATAGACTCACCTTCTAATGAACCAGTACTTTAAATTTAGCTACATCAGTGGTTCTTAACCAGGCTGACTTTGCCCCTCAAGGAATGTTTGGCAACGTTGACAGATATTTTTGGTTGTGACATCTTCAGAGTGCTACTGGCACTAGTGTGTGGACTCCAGTGATGCTGCTAAATCTATAACACACAGGTCAGTCTCTCACAGTAAGGAATTATCAGACACAAATGTCAAGTGTGAGAGACCCTGAGCTACATTACTGGTCTCATCTATTTCCAGCCTAAAATCTACATCACAATCTCAAAATTCTTCACTGAAGCTGTTTTGTTTTAATGTACAAAATGTAAATTTGATTTGTAATTATAAGACCTTGGGTAAGCAATACAATCTCAGGAAGAAGAGGTTAAAAATATTCAATACAAAACTGACAGAGTGAAATATAAAAGAAAAGAAAATATAAATCAAACCACAGCTATGTATGACCAAAATTTAAAGATCTCGTTAAACTTCTCATTTGCAATGTAAATAGTACAGGACATGACTGAAAATTGGTATTGCAAAGGTTCATTCTATATTCATGGCATATAAATACCTTTCCTGTAAGACAAAATTTAAAGGAACAGCTATAACTAATTCTGTGTTCTTATTTGAACTTTCACACTGTGCATGCCTTTGCTGGCATATTAAGTTTGCTTTGGAAGGAGGTAGGCATTAAATTAAACTTTTTTCTTCCTGATACTTCTTCAAGAAATAATAATAATAAAGAAAATAAAAAAGAAGTTGCATCCCAATGGAATTCTATTTTTTAAACTTCTTAGCACTAAAAAGCACTTTTAGGATATTTAGAATATTCTTAATTCCAAATCAGATCGTCCCTTAATCTGTTAATTTCTTAGAATTAAAAAAAGGGGGGAGGAACAAGGGGTAACAAAATGATTTTTATATTAAAGTCTCAATTAATACAGATCCCTGAAAGTCAGTTTAAAATAGAAATCAAGTTTCACAAAATAAATACACTGAAGCAACTATAATAGTAATACTTTTATTTAAAATACTTGTTAATCTAGGAAAGCTTCTTTACATGAGTTTCCAACTAATTATTAGAGTCAGAAACAAAGAAAATAAAACCAGAGAAAATCCTCTGTAGAAAAAATACACAGGAACATTTATTTCTACATGTGAAAAACAGTAAACAGTCTTAACATCTGCATATCCAAGTCTCAGTCTCAATTCCATCTCTCCTAGTGAATACCACTATCGACCTTGACATCTGATTTGTTCTTGTCATTCTTCACTGAATAGATGAAATATGTTAAGGTGTCTTTTTCATTCACTGGAATAGACCTAAAGTGGCAACCAACTATCTATGAAGAAAAAAAATTGAGGAAATTAAATTATAGGTATTAACAGATTTCATAAACTAGGTAAAAAACACTTGCATCAAAAGAAAAAGTACTATGTGATAATAAGAGCTATTTCCATTTAAAAATAAACTGTATTCAACAAAATACCAACAGGACAAAAAGCATATAAGAATAAGATGTTGTGAACAAGAGACAGTGTGATTTCAAAGAACCCTTCAGCCTACTCAATTAAATTAATTAAATAGAATATATATTTACTTTTATTTATTTTAAATTTTATAACTGGAATCTAGGTTAGAAAGCAGTATTTTTACTTTTTAAACTTTAAATATCAATGAAATAAAACAGAATGTAAGAGTCCACATGTATCATGTAATGGTTTAGGCCCTATTCATAGAAAAAGAATAAATATGAAGTTGAAAGTTTGATACTATAGAAACAAACCATGAAATATGATACAAATATGTTTGCTACAAATTATGTTCATTCATTCATTGGCAATATTCTTTGTTAAGGCGTCTTGAAAAATTTTCTGAATAAAAATTACAAATGGAAAATGATAGGGAAAAAAGGGATGTTCACTGAAGAATGTTTTCCTGATTTCTTGCTTTTTCACTAATCTAACATGTGCACTGCAACTACCAATAGAAAGAAGTACAGTTAACTAAACTGGGATGCTCAAGAGCATATCTAGATTCTGGAAGATAAAACTTCTTAAAGAAAGGTTATCAAATGATAAGTAAGAGACTTAAGGAGGATCGTTATTCAATTCTGCAATCACTTTTAAATACCTATATTTCTGACTAAATAAACTATAACACTAATAGGCTATTTGTTTATTTTTTTATTTATTGAGTTTAGAGAGAGGAAGAGAGAAAGAGAAAGGGAGAGGCAGAGAGATTTGTTGTTCCACTCATTTATACATTCATTGGCTGATTCTTTTATGTGCCCTGGCTGGGGATCAAACCCACAACCTTGGCGTACCAGGACAATGATCTAACTAACTGGCCTATCCGGCAAGGGCTACACTCATGGCTATCTGGATTACGGGTATTTCTCATTTAAAAAAAAAAAAAAAAAAGCTATAGGAAAAAAATTAATTTTCTAGATTAGATTATCAAAAACTTCAGGTTTGGTTTACACATTTAAAATAATTATTTCGTTGGTTCTGATCTGTCCTAAAACAAAGTACTTCCACTTGATTAGTATATGTAATTTTGATATCGTTTCATCATGGTAGATAATATCTATATTTATGTTATACTAATGTGCTATATAATCCAAACAGACTAGATATTTTAAATCAGATTTAAAGACAATTTGATTTTTGTTGCCTAGCCAAGAAGAAAGAAAAAATTCTGGCTAAGAAATTAATATATTGGATCTTACCAATGTTAAAAAGCATTTCATTCTGCCAAACAGCTGTAACTGCTATTCATCCTTTATCTTATTCAATATGCACATTTTAGAAAATGTTGGATTATTAAATTCAAAATAAAGAATATGAGAAAAATGATTTATATATTTACATTTTTATTCTGCCTAGATTAACATTTTTAGTTTAAATATAATTAAAGTATAAATATGTAAATCAATAAACATCTTAATATAATACTTAGACTACCAACAGAAGTATAGACTTCTTGGTTCTATTTTTCCTGAGAACACACACACATAAACACACACACATACACTCAACTTTTCAAAATTCACTAAAGGACTAGAACCCCTACATCAAAACAAACTATTTAAGTAAAAGCTTGGACACAGTCTTTGCATCTTCTAGATGTGAAGAAAACATGGATGCCTAGCCCCATTCACTAAAAGGACACTGATTCAGGAACGGATAAGTTACAGGTTCAATTCCTGGTCTGAGTGTGTACAGAAGGCAACCAATCTGTTTCTTTCTCTACCCCCCGCCCCTTCCTCTCTCTAAAAAGACCAATAAAAAGATATTTTTTTAAAAAAGAAAAGCTCGGCTGGCATGGCTCAGTGGTTGAGTGTTGACATATGAACCAGGAGGTCATGGTTCGATTTCCAGTCAGGGCACATGCCCAGGTTGTGGGCTTGATCCCCAGTAGGAGGCGTGATCCTCTCTCATCATTGATGCTTCTATCTCTCTCTCCCTCTCCCTTCCTCTCTGAAATAAAAATACATCAATAAAAATATATTTAAAGAAAAGAAAACATGGATGTCTAAAATAAAACAAACTAACATTAACAAGGGCAAATTCTGAAATGGTTAAATCAGAAAGTTATGGAAATTCTGTTTAGGAGCTTATCTGTAGACCTATTTCATCAGAAACTTAAAGACATCAAAGTATATTAATTTATTTTATTATTCCTCAATTAGCTGTTCAATAAATATTTGCTGAGTAAATGAAATTTTAAAATAAATTTCTAGAATAAGAATAAAAAATTATCACTTAGAAACCTATTATTAGAAGATACTTAGAAAATTATATACAATCCATTGAGTAGTCATGATGTAAAGAAATTTGCTAAGAGGCAGACAAAATTTCTAGGTAACTAGATTCTTCCACAATAGATTTTTAAAAAGTTAACTTTGATCTTTCTAACTAAAATATTTTAGTTTTATATACCTGTTAACAATTTCATTAGCATTTAATAACTCTTTTTTGTATGAACAGAGTCCTTTAAAGTTTTAAATAGTTTAAAATTCATAAATACCTCAACAAGTTGTGCTTTATTAAGTCCTGGTCTGGTTGGTAGTTTGAAGTGTCTTTTGTATCTCCTAAGTGTATTTACTTGCAATTGGTATAAATCAACCTAGAAAAAATTAACATATGTGAATTAGTTCAAGCAATTTGTTAAAAACTTGTCTTTGATATGTATAATAACATTTCAATTACAGCACAATAAAATTTTCATTCTATTATTTTATAGAATCAAAACTATAAATGTAATAAACATTTTGAGGATAAATATTAAAAACTGTTTAGGGGGAAAAGTAAGACAACAGAACTATAAGAATTGACAATTAAAAATATAACAATGAAATTGTGTAACTGTGTTAACTGGCTATATTTAATTTTGCTTTCATTTCCAGATTTTTCAAATGTTTTAAGCATTTTTCAAATGTGTTCATATCTTTTTATGAAAGTTTCACAATGGACTACTTAGGATTTACATTTAACATGTAAAAACTTTTCTCTACCTCTGGCGTATCAATATCTTGAACTGGTGAATCTCCTCCATCATCATCACTCCCTTTTCTCTTTCTTCTGTTACGAACACTCTGAATTAAATTTTTATGATAATCACAAATGTAAAGATGCCTTACCTGAAACAGAAAAGTTTCACATACTACTTAGAATTACAGTAAAATACATCTATGTATTAGTAAAATACATAGACCACAGTGAATCATCTAAAAAACAACAGTCAAAACAGGGCATTGTTAAGGGATTTTTTTTTTCTAAAGTCCTGCACACAGTTAAAACACGTATGTCTGGCAACACCGTTAAGAAGCTTGGGAAGTGGGGTGGGGAGCGATGACCTTAAGGGAGGAAAAAAGAAGGAGAAATTCAACCTCTAGACTTTGTCAGTGAGGGTCAACTAGATGAGTTTAATCATGATGTTTTGCTAACAAGGAGAATAATGATGTAGCCCACGATTTTGCTATTTGATAGTATTTTCCCTATTTAAAGAGCATATGTTAGTAGCATAATATATGCTTTCTAATCTTTCTAATTTAATACTTTAAATATAAAACTATTTCTTTTTACAAATGAGCTATTTATTTTCACATTCTAACTATATTTAGATTTGAAATGATAAAGTTTCCTGATTATTAAATGTATTTACCTGTAATACGTTTTCCCAACCAAAGCAGTGGGAAATTATTCAAGTGTACCTAAAAAGTTTCTCATGAACATGACTGAAGAACTGTTTAAACAAGCAGAAGGTATACAAACCTTCCAAGATGTTAATTACATATAGTTTTGAGAGCTGTATACTAACATGTGAAATACTGGGCTTCATACAATAACAGCTACTTCTTAAAAAAAACACACACACACACAAACCCCACAAACAAACAAACAATGAAGGACGGAGCTAACAGGTTTTTACATGCACTTTAATGCTAAGTGCAAGTTAAAAATGAGCAGGAAGCATGCGAGATTCTGACTTCTTGTTCTTAATTTACTGCCTGCCAGAGCTCCGGAAAGTGGCAATGGTTGTGTCTAAAGTCTCATAGACATAGATGGTCAAAATAACAGACGCGCAGAAAGGACGTTAAAGGAAATCCTGATGGCAGCGCAAAGCCACAGAGACTACGTGCTCACCGCGCTGGGAGCAGCTGCCCCGGAGGCTGACACCGCCGCCACGGTCCCCAAGCCCGGCCCCCTGCAAAGAGCAGGGGGTGCTCGGCCACCCTCTCGCCGTGTACTCAGGGGGACAGGAAGCGGGATCTTTCCCGACTGCGGCGTCAGGTCCTTGCAGGATTCCACTTTCCCGAGACCCGGGAACCTACTCCCTGGGGCCAAACGCCAGCTCGGGGCAGCAAAACAAAGGCGCCTCCATTCCAAAGGAGCAGCGGGGCTGCAAGAAAACTACCCCATTCCCTCCCTCCGAGCGCTGCTTCCCTTTGTTTCGCTTCCAGTTCTCAGCGAAGGGGGGAGGGAGAAGGCAGGGAGCGGGAAGGACGCGGGGGGCGGGGTGTGGGAGGCTGCGGGGGCGAGGGAGCACGGCGTGCAAGTGTGTGTCTTGCGGGAGTGGCGGTCGGAGTTGCTGCGACTTTGTTGTTTGCTTCCTACCAGAGACCCCACCGCGGGTGTGCACTGGCTGACAGGTCAGGGGGAGCCCTGAATCCCCGGCCCCACAGCCCCAGTGTGAACCGCCCCCGGAGCCCCCAGGGGGCGGGCAGGGCAGGGCCGTCCCCCAGTCACTTACGCTCTTATCCAGCTCGATCTTCACCTTCTTCTGCGAGATGCTCTTCTGGATCCTCTTGCTGAAGCTGGCGTTGCCTGCCGCCCGGCCGCACCGCTCTCCGTCCTCCCCCAGCCAGCACAG